ATATAAATATAAATTTTATTTATATATATTTATATGTATATAAATAAAAAATATATATTAATATATATATAATATAATAAAAATACACAAATCATTTTCCACTATTGTCCTCCAGGCAATAACTAATATTTTTATGATAAAAAAGTTCCTTTTTTCTCACTTAGATACCCACAAGCTCCATGTCACAATAACTTGCTACTCAAAATTGCTATTTCTAAAATAAATTTTTCTGTTACCTCATGATACATTGTGGTATAAGGACAGTTAATATGCAAATTGCTAACATAATTTCATATATATCTTCCCTCCTGTTGCTCTTTAGTTTGGCACTGAGCAGCTGAGGTCTGAAGTTTTCATCAAAGAGCACTGAACAAGGCAATTTATAAAATCAAATGAGGATTCTTTTTTCAATTATTTCATTCACTGTTTATGCCTACTAAATTGTGGAACAGTCAATGAAATGCATTGATGCATGGATTATTTCTTCCTCTGCTTGACTATGTCTAAATGCAGGCTTATTTTCAAGTGGTACAATATAGTAGAATAGTGAAGCATGATGGCTCCAGCTCAATGAGTAACTCAAGGCAAGTTAGTTATCTCTTTAGGTCTCATTTTCATCATCTGTAAAATGGAGATAATAATATACCTCTTACATATGGTCAGTGAGAGGATTAAGTGAAATAATCCACGGAAAGCCATTAGCAAGATGCCTGTCACATAACAAGTACTCAGCTCTTATTAAGATAATGATTATGAGATCTCATACTGAAACATTACTGTTCTTATATATTTTAGAGCAGAAATATTCTCAGAACTATATTAACCATTATGCTTAGCCAAAAGAGAGCAAAAGCACGCAAGAGCATCATTCTCAGCTCAGCTCAGGTTGCTGGTTTCCCACGCAGCACATGCCTGGGGCAGACAGCTACTATGGGCAGTAATTGCAGTTATTATAGACTTGGGGCAGGCAGAGCAGCTGGAAAGGCCCATGGATTAGACAAAGGCAGACTGGCCTCCAATTGAGACTGTGTTAGAGGACAGTAGAGGGTTAGTAGTTGGGACAAGGCAGCTGATCAAATTCGAGAAGACATACAATGGTCTAGGCAGCAACAGTGACAGATCAAGCCCAGAGAAAGAGGGCTGAGTTCAGCAAGCTGGAGGTATCTGGCAGGAGTCATGGTCCCGGAGAATCCCCCAGGGAGATACCTCATTGAGAGCATTTGACTTGGACTGAAGGCTTTTACCCTTGAAGTTCCAAATGGACTCATTTGTTATTAGAGAAAACTCATCTCTTTATGACAGGCTTGGCCAAGGTGGGCCAGGGCTCATCCTTAACCCTCCGTAAACTTGAGGTCTATCTGTCAGAGAGTAGTAACACTAAGTCTTCCTATCTGGAACTCCCTGAGAATATGTATGAACCCAGTGGGTCTGGTAGGCTGATCAAAGTAGAGCAGAGTCACTTTCCTTTCATGGGGCTGTGACCACCAAAAGATGTAAGAATGAATCTTCTGAAAGAGATCCCAAGCAAAGTGATGATCATGGGAAATAGAACAACCTTAACTAGATATGCCAGCTCCAAACAACAAAGCATAAAGTTTTTAAAAATTATGAATTGGATATTTTACCTGCCTGACAAACTAGAGACTTGGGGATGTTCCAGCAACTTATATTTTATTTTGTATATTTAGTGTCATGCTACCGCCACCATCAGTGACAAAGTTGTTATAATCAATAACCTCTACTAGATTTCTGGGCAGGGTCTGCTTGCTTTCTGAAGCTAATTCCAATAATGTTTTTTGAAAATGTTTTGACTTTCACTGTTTATAGGCAATCAGGAATGAGCCAGACTTCCACACAATGAAAAGAGTTATCCCGCTCCCATGAGCACAGAGATAAGGCATAATGACACAGTGGTGAAGCAGGATGCCACTCCCAATTCATTCTGAGACACCTTATAGGAAACCAAATTGCTGGGGACATTTGAGAGAGGAAACCTGTTCTACTAAGAAACATCAGGGGACCTGGAGGCCAGGCTAAATTAAGTAAGGTAAAACTGTTAGCAAAACTGTGCAAAAGGTATTGCACATCACATTTATATGATGACCCATGGGGGAAGAACGTGCATTTATGCACAAAAATACTTAAGGTGCTAGAATCTAAGTGGTATGGCAAGGTAAATATAAAACAAAGATAGATTATTCCAGAATTTCAATACAATCAAAAGGTTAACAACCACCCTAAAGCAACACTAAAACCATCATATATCACTGGACACAGCAATGGTTGATACTGTCAGGAATTGGGGCTATGAGAAAATACAAAGGCAGTAAATCCAAACTTTTAACTCACAGGCGGAATGATTTCTGATACTCAGTTTCCATCATTCAAATAAAATATTCAGTCACTTAATTTCTATTAAATTAATTCTATTGTCATTCACGGCAAAGGCATCCTAAACACTTAATTTTCATATTATTTTTGACTTGCAAATCGTGAGATAAATACACACTTAAGCAACAGACCTTTTCCAATATGGCTCATCCGCGCCCTCTAGTGATCATAAGGCTAGTTCAGACAAGTCATTCCCCCCCCAAAAATTGTTTTATAAAGGCACACAGATTCACTGCGTATTCAATTTCTGCTGTTTGCTAAAAATAGATCTTCTGCCACTGTTATTTGCTCTCAAGTTACTGCTCTCTCTTTAGAATCCATAACAGATAAAACCGTTTATTAAAGAACATGCAATGCAATCATCTGAAAACATGTCAAAGCAACATTTGCTTGATCCCAATGTGAATACATTATTTTGGCTGCTGGGGAGCCCTTTAGCCACTGAATAAACATGATTACAAAGGAGTCAAGAAACATTTTATTTTTTAAATAAAACACTTGTATAGTTGCTTCATTTCTCTTCCTAACTTCTCTCTGTGTATTCCAGTGACTATCTTACATGATCACAATGGCCATATTCACAACACTCTGTTTGACAGTTGCCTGATCACTTATTTCCTACCACATTTGGTATATGTTTGTTTTTGTTGTTGTTGTTGTTTTTTAAATAAAGACTTTCAGCAGATGTTCCCATTCCTTCACTGTGTACCAGAGTTCTTAAACAGGCGGCCTCTGGAATAATTGTGATCTGCAGGCATGGTCTAGTTGCATTTTAAATTTTCTTACTAGTTATAATGCTCAAGGTAAAGTCCAAAGCTGCAGTTAAACATTTAAAAATCTGAATTTCTGGCATCCCTTAAGAGAAGAAAAAACATTTGGCAGTGTCTGTCCGTCCAGCATCCCTGCATAGCGACATATCCGGGATGCAAGTGGGGCTACCCCTTTAGGTAAGGCCTGTGTTCTTCAGTAGCCAGTCACAGCTTAGCCCACATCAGCCACAAGGGTTTCTTACCTGGCCCCTGTAGGCATTTGAGTTGCAACTCCTGAGTCTGTGACCCCTTTGAGGTCTTCCTGTAAAACTTCTCTTTCTAATACTATAACCAAACTAATCTTCTATCATATTAGCACAACAAAACTCTACCAGAGGCACAGACTAAAGGGAACACACTGTTATAAAGAAAAGGAACAGGATATTCTTAGTAATAGAGGATTGCAAACACACAAATGAGTAGTTTAGGTTGAGGTCAAATACAATCGATTCTCTCAGACTTGATGAAGTACACTTTATGCTTATGAATCATGTCTTCGTTCTCAGATGACAAAACCCTCACCATGGGTTCAAATATAGCAAGTAAGCAATGTAGATACACCTAACAACAAGCCACCTGCTCACATCTCAACATTTCCTTCTTGGAACCCAAGACCTGCTGATCAATTGACTGGCCTATCAGGCCATAAAAAGGAAACATGGCACTCACGGGTGTGCTGCTGTCTGAGAAGGTGTTCATGCTGACAGAGCTGCTCAGCTTCTCCGAGGACACAGAGGGTGGGGACGGGCTCCTCTTCTCCAGGGGGTCCTGCCTCTGCAGGTACTCACGCCAGGCTCTCTGAATGCTGGAAAAACAAAACAAAACAGCACGTGCACTATCACTACCTGGTCACAGCCCACAGACTCAGAAAAGCACAAGGAGAAATTGGCTTTGGAGACAGGGAAAATGTAGCACATAGAATGTGACACAGGAAATCAGAAGACCTGTACTGGTTCTCTATTTTACTGATTTGACAGTCACAGACTAAGCTAAATCATCTTAGTCAGAAAAAGTCATCAAAGTGAAACTGGCTTGCACATGTAAATGTACTTTGATTTATGGGACATAAAATCTTTCAATTTCTCATCCTATATTTCAAATGAAAATAATAAATAGGTTGCTTTATCACTTACTCATGCACTAATATAGCCTTGTTGAGGGACTCTTCTGAGCCAAGGTCAGCCCTAGGTGCTGGACAGTGACTGCAACGCAGCTCTAGAGGGTGCCATATGCACAGACCTCAAGGCCAAGAAAATCCCATGATGCCATATAGTGTAGTCTACTTGGCCAAACGCAGTGGCCCTGCTATGGGGACAAGACAGTCAAGAGCCCTGTGGTCATGAATTTTTACATACTGTGGAAGGAAACAGGTAATATATGATAAGTAAATAAAGGAATGGACAGAGAGGACAGAATATCTGAAAGTTATACGAACTATTCAAAAAACTAAAATAACACATGATTAGGTGGCTATTTGAAATTTTACCCAAGGAAGCTTTTTTATTTCCTGTGCTTAGTATCAAAACAAAGTCATCTGCTTTGTATAACAGAAAGCTCTTCGTTGTGAAAGCTAAGTAATTTTTTTTCCACCTGGACTGGTTTCTAATCTTTGAGATTAACATCTAGTTTTTCACAGAGGATCAGTGAACACAATTCTCTTCTGGAAATTAACCAAACATGAAGACCAATTTTTAAGAATCAGCCTTTTAAAATAGTTTTAAATAGTTGCATTAATTCCATTACTATCTCTTCTAGACTCCTGGAAGTATATGATCTTCCATAATTCTTCCCACACACAATTAAGGCAATTAAAGTTGTCTCTCTATAAACAAACTGATTTATTTTCTCTTGGCTAGAATGGTTCAAAGACCATTAATTCTCAGTAGTCAGAGGATAGAAAGGCCACAAAAATGCTACCATGTTACTAAATTTATACATGTCCCCTAATTTATTAAGGCTCTGAATTACAATGCTCAAGGTAAAGTCCAAAAGCTGCAGTTAAACAATACCTTTGGGTCAGAGGCCAATTTCCCCTGAAGCTATGAAACATAAGCTTCAGGGGCCCTTACAGGCCAGGAGTTTCTTCTAAGATCCTATGAGCAGCTCTTCATGGTTTGTATAAAATTGCAAAAGTAGATATCTTCCAGGGTTTTTTTTAAGAGGGCTCCAAATTATATATACACTTCAGACCCTATTAAGGCAGGATATGGCCCTGCTTTGGATTATATGTGGTTACTGTTTTATTATACAAGGCTTGCTCCAAAATATATCCTTATTTATTTACTTTTATTTGGTTTAAAGATTTTAAACGGAATCTCAAAGAAGGTTCTGTAAGAGTTTGTTAGTCCTGTTGCTTCTTCAGGGACCCATTTTACTAGGGAGTAGCAAACTTTTGGAGACTGTTAATAATTTCTACATCATCTGAAGTGCTTAGGGTCTTCCAGAGTCCTGCTAACAAGTTCGGCCACTGGAGGGCACCTAAAGGCTGTAAACCTGCCCATCAAGGGCTTAAAAAAAAGTGACATTGTAAAGGCTATTTAAAAAATATAAAACATTAACAAGGCATGGAATACCCACATGTTTATATTGAGGTGTTCCTCTCTCTCTCTCTTGCTCGCTCATAGTCTTGATTATTCAGAAAATATAGAAAGAAAATGTAGTAGCCGTTTGAGAGTTTACGTTTTAGTTTATTGAACACCAGGGGGCAGTGTGACACCTTTAAAGAACCAAACAAGTAATGCCAGGCAAAACTGGAGTAAGATCAGCAAAGGTGAATTTTCACTTAAAGCATCCACTTGCCCTTCCTGGTTCTATGGTGCCTGGAAAGTGACTTATCAGTTTTCTTACGTCAGAGATTAAGAAGGCAACATTCCTTTCTTCCCGGTGGGTGGATATCCTCTTTTAGTTGACAGAGAATGCGACAAAATTAAATACCTTTAAAATGTGTATTAAAATCACCTATAAGCCTCCTCCCTCCTTAATACAAAAGCTATTTTAATTTTTTTGAATACTTACCTTACTATCCTTGTCCACATATATGGAAACAATTTTACTTAGTTGGAAGCATATTATACTATATTTTAATCTTTTTTTAACTCAGAAGTTAAAAATGAGAGGCCAGTCACTTCACTATTATCTAAATTGCTACATTGGATATTTTTTAAATGGTGGGATCATGCTATTAGTACTTTCTGAATCATAGGAAACTATTTACATCACACACTGTTTACTCCCATTTGACCACTTTGTAGATTAAATTGTTCTATAATTAGCTCTCTGAATACAATCTCCAAATGCTATTTCACCGAAAGAGGGAATTAAAAAAAATGTAGAAGCACCTCAACCCTCAGTCACGGAAAATCACTTTTCAGCCATCTTATCCCAGCTGTACCACAATTCCTACTCACAGGTCTCCTTTAAGGCTGCAGGGTAAATCCTGAACACCAACTACCTTGACATTTTTATTTCTAAAACTAAGCCTTGCTATCAATACAATTCTTTAAAGGCTGGTTGCAGTAAAGGAGCACATCATGTGTGTTCCTATATTTTGAATTATGAATATAGAGGCTTATTTCAAAGTAGATGAGAAATACATTTTTCAATAATTTTTTTGCTTGTCCAGCTCGTTTGTCTTCCATGTCAAGGATGGTGTCTTCGCCTGCCTCTGCCATCTCTCTATACATCCTCGTTTGTTTCACAGTGCCAGTGGCTCCCTCCTGCACTCACAGCTGGCGCAGTCCTGGTTGTCCCTGGCTGTCCTTACCTACAAGGTATCCTTGCCTAGAAGACAGAGCTCTGTGAGCTGTGATGCTTAGAGAAGGTTCCAGGGAGTCCTGGTGCTTTAAGTAGCCTTGAAGGATGGAGGGGATTTAGATTGATAAGAAGGAGGAAAGGCGTTTGGGCAAAGCCTTGGAGGTGAGGGTACCAGGCAGAAGGCAGGAGGTTCCCAGAGGAAAGGGGTAGGGCATGAGGCTGTGAAGACTGGAGAAGCATCCCAGATGTCTCCTAGGGCAAGGCTGGGGGCAGACTGGGCATACCTGCCCTTGGGAGGCGGAACCCCATCTTGGCACAGTTGATTGTTGTCAGATCTTACTACTTATCAAGAACAGTCAGAAATCTGGGTTTTTATTTGAAAGTTACTAGTTCTTAAATGTTACCAAATAATTTTTACAACTTCAAAATACATTATTACACAAGTAGGCTAAATTTGGGGTTGGGGAAAAAGGACACCATCAAAGAAGACAGAAGTCTGAGTATCTTGGGAGATAACATCTAATTACATATAGCTCTTTTTATGTGTATTCTCCCATTCAATCCTTACCACTTGTGGTAAGGTAACTACCATCATAATGGTAGTTTTTGCCTGCCCAACATTAATTTTTCTTTCATTTTGTTCCAGCACTCACTTTTCACTGGGGACCCACCAGTCCATGGCCACAATGTTGGGAGAACCCACACGAGAATGAAGCTATAATATCCAGAGCAGAGCTTACAGAAGAAGGAGGACAGAGATGTCTGATGATGCTTGACTACCTGGGTCTATATATGCTTGAAGCACATTAGCCGCTGGATGTTTCTGTTAGGTGATCCAATATAATCTCTTTTTAATACATAAGTTAGTTTGAGTTGAGTTTCTTTTACTCACAACCAGGAGTCCTCGACAGGTTTCAGGAAACAAGATGGGAGCTAACTGACAGACCCGACATTTGGACCAGATCCCCTGTCTTTCCATTACATTGTGCTCCCGCCTCATGGTTCAGCAAAAGGCAGAAAGGGAGAAGAAATCAAGGTGATGGATTTGGCTTGTCACTTACTGACTTGGAGTAGATAAATAGAACCCCTATTTGTTTAAGCCTGTTTAATTTTCTATGTGTGACTAAAAGCTACCCTAACAGATAAGCCATGATTTCATTATTTGGTGTCTGCCTCAACCCTGTATCCTGTCACAAACCTGCGCAAAGGCCAGCGAAGGGCCACTGCATGCAACAGGCAGGTTTTCTGTAGAATTTGCCTGTATCTCTAAGCCTGCTTCCTCTCCCATTCCAGTTTCTGCCTAGTTTGTAACTCCTGACTTCATTTGATTGTTGGTACTTCCTAAGCATCATGGACTTATGCCCTTCTGGATCTTTCTGCAGGTTCCTTCACCAACACCTATGACCACCTTGATGGTCAGGAACTCCCAAATCCCTCACAGATGGAATTTGGGCAACTTGGGCCTTTTCTCTAGAACACTCTTCTTTCTGAAGATTGAGAAAGCACTTTAGAAATAAGGCACACAGAAGCTACTTAGTCTACGAAAGAGACCAATGGCTCTCTGAGATATTAACCATGCAAAAAGAAGAGTGTCAGATTAGGCTAATCCAGATAACTCCTTTCCAAGAAGTCTTCTTCCTCCACTAGACTGTGAATCCCTTGAGGGCAGTGTCCATCATATTGGTCAGTAGGTGATCAACAAATATATTCTTCTAACATTGTATTCCAGAAATAACTCAATAAATCCTCAAAGAAGAAAAAGTTTTACCTCATGAGGAAGTGTGCTTAGAAACTGAATGTGTTTATTATATTCCTCAGCTCTGTGACCTCTGTTTGGAACTTTCTTATATTTTCCATCTCTTTACTGAAGTTCTCACTGTGCTCATCCATTCTTCTCCCAAGTTCAGTGAGTACCTTTATGAGCATTACTTTAAATTCTTTATTATGTAAATTACTTACCTCTGTTTCATTAAGGTTTTCTTTTTTGTTGGTTTTGTTTTGTTTCCTGAAGCTTTATCTTGTTCTTTCATTTGGAACATGTTCCTCTGTTTC